CGGGCGGCGTAGCGTTAAAATTAGAACAAGGATTTGGGGTACCTTAAAGTATACGTATATAAAAAGGAACCCTAAGGAATAACTTGGGAAATTATTTAGGACCCTATAGTAGGTGGCACCGATACCCATTGCTGGCGTCAAGGAGGCCGAGGTTACCCAGCAACCCCTAAAAAATGCGCCACTACTTCTCCAACAGCTAAAAGAGAGGCCTTGACAATTAGAGCAAGGTTTTGGCGTACATTATACTGTAATCATAATGAGGAACGCCCAAAATAGTATAGGTACTTATTTAGGCCCATATATATATTATCAACAACTGGAGGAAACTCCCAAAATAAGAGTGCAAACAATACCGCTGGGCGACCTAGCAGAAACACGTGTGCAGTTTACACAGGAAACACTCTTGCACACGAGGACGCCCTTACAAACTCCAAACCACAAACACCAAAGCATAAACTCGAACCCTAAACCCTCCACCTTAATATCGGAAGGATCTAACTGCGACACCTTCGAAGAACCTAAAACACCCCTTGTCTTACAGCTCTGTAAAACCCGCAGTAGAAGCCCTCATGCTAGCAAGCGAAGAGTTTCAGACACTTAGAAGCCAACGCCCTCACAATGTCTTTGTCACCACTACCTGGACCCCAAGGGTTTACGGTTTAGGGCGCCCAAAAACTCAATAACACCGTATTATTTTGTACCGCAATGGAAAGAGCTAGTCATAAGGAACACCCGGTCATGCACCCGCTGTGGAGCCTCAGGACATTGCTGGACATATGGAGATGGCGACCTCTCCCAGAGACTCCAAAGCCCCTTGACCCTTTGGAGAGGACTAAAGAACCGTACAGGGACTCAAACTGCATTTACAATGTAATGAGGTATGAAAGACTCCCTAACCAAGGTATAGACCGTGAATTTGAAGGAGGGTCGTTAGGAAGATAAAAGCTCGATGTGTTGGTCAATTCACTTTGGAGTCTCGGGCTTTGCCAGGCGGGAGCAGTGCACATCCGTTGCCATCCGAGATCTTTCAAGCAAACTACTGTAGTGGCTCAAGGCTTTAGGCTTGGAGTTTCCGGTTTAGGGCTTTCGGGTCTCTAGGAATTAAACGACTAGGGTTGCATGATGCAGGGATTTAGGAAATTAGGCTTTAAGGCACCATTTTCCGGATGCTGGGGTGCAAGGCTTCGGGTCCAGCAGCGACCTGGAGGCGGATTCTGGTAGAGGGATCTGGAGGCGACCACTACCAACGATCGAGGCTCCCATGATACTCTAAACCCTAAACCCTAACACCCTAGGAATTTTAGAAGGATGAGAGTTTAGGGTTGTAAGTAGTGGTGCTTCCGGGGGTTTGGGCCAGACCAGACAAAACAATCCCGCCCCCCCGAAACGAAACTCCGAACATGGCCCCTCCCAAGCCGTAAAAAGGAAGCCATGTACCTGTTTTTTTATGGAGAGATATCCTTATAGCCATACCTTAACCTACCATAACCCACTTTTTTGTAGGTTCTTATTGGAAAACCCTAATATTAGGGATTTATAGGGGCCCTAGAAAATGTAGGTTCTGGGAGGTGAAATCATAGATATTCACTTGGGGTATACTCCTCAGTCGAAGGAGCTTGGAGTCTCTGGGACCCCTCAAAGGAGGGCTAAGCCTTACAGACCATTCCGAATCGCACATAATATCGAGCTTGGAAAGCGTAACAACAGAACGTATGAGCATGCTGGGATGGCATCATCAAGTATAAGAGCACCAAAACCTGTATATTTTAAGACTGTTGTCTTCTAAATCCTGCACAATTACTTAAGCAATAAACGAACCCGAAACCCGTTTCTCATTACTAAGGCCCCTGATACAAGTACTCTTTCCAAGTACTATCAAGTACTGCAGGCCAAACACGTAGTTGGCGGCAAGGTTGTTGCCGTGACCTTGGCAGCAAGCAGCCCTACAGCCTGAGTGAGAACACCCGAAGCTTATTGTAGTGAGGGTGCCATGCAGCTTCTATACAGGGACCACAGCATAGAAAGGGAAGAACGGCGCTTTTGCTTCTTCTCTCTTCATCTGTGATGCATGATAACTGGGCCTGTGCACTCCGATCAGGGCGCCATTCGTTGGTGGTGAGAGAAATAGGGTTACCGTTGAGGGTCCTTGGATTAAATATCTTAGCATTTGGGGCATGTACTAGGCTTCCTTTCGTGCGCTCTACTAATGCACTGACGCGCACTGTGCGGTACTGGAACAGGGTCTAACAGCGGTGCAACATGAGAGCTTGGATAAAGCTGGTTGCGTTCGGGGGTGTCCTGCATCATGACCTGACATCCCCAACAATCAATACCTAAGTTTCCGAGTATCCTAAGCCCTAAACCCAAATACTCGATAATAACCCAACAAGGTTCAATTGTTGAACCTTGGACAGGCAGAGTACCAGAACTGCTTACCAAAGCGCGGCGCTTGGGCCCCATCTAGTGTCTGCATCTCCAGCCCTGTGAACCTTAAATCCTTATAGCCTTGTAAAGTATCATAAATTCACAAAGCTGTGAACCAAAACCGCCCAACCTCCGGGCATGAGGCAGCTCGGGTTTAGGCTGAGGATTGTTGTATTTACAGCCTCCCCATGAATATTGCGAGCCAGCATCGGTGCTGGTCCATGTGGTGGTGGAGAATCTTGTGAAGGTTGTGCTTTCCCTCGGATTCTGAGATTGTCGGGGGCAGAGGTTGCGGGGGTCTTGTACAGGAACTTCGTCTAAGTTAGCTCAGATCATATATGATCATATCTATCTGTCCATCTATCTATCTATCTATCTATCTATCTATCTATTTCTTTGCATTTACTTATCGAAGGTAATCCGACATTCCCCAGCATCTCCTTAATCAACAAGGCATCCTTACATCACCACAACACGAGGCAAGAAGGATGGTACCGGGCATAACCCGAATTTTCTGTACCTGCCTTGCCGTGGTCATTTAGACGCATTTCCTCGGTAAGACGCCAGGTTTAGTCCTAACCCCGAGGTACCTACTATTTAGGGTACTAGAGCCCCTAGGGCCCTATATAGTAGGTACCTGGACGGTTAGGGTAGTGTTTGGGACCAGGAAGCTCGGCGGCTGGCTTTTAGTTTACAAGGTTTGGCCAACGGCCCCTTTTGCTTTTGGAGGCCCTACACACAAGCAGGTTCCGATTGGATAAGGTCTATGCTGAAGCACTCAGATGTCGGATGCATGTAATTTTGTACCAGCTGCCAGCTGTCTGCGCAACTCGGTGTAAAGACCGTCACGAATGAGTTCCAGACCAGAACCCCACAGGACGTACAGTTGTAGGACTGCTTATTCTGCTTTCTGTATATGGCTACAGCTCCCAGAACAGTGGAACCCGCGCGAAGCCCCAAAAAACACCATAAAGCCCGGCTCAATGAAATGAGAATATGTTAACATGCTAAAACGCAATGAAAACCCAAGAACCCTGTGCTACAACTCCTGCATCTCTTTTCAGGAGCAGCATACCTTGAGAGTATGCCAGTACACCTCTCTCAGCCGGGTGACACAGGACCTAGAAACGGGAGATGTCCCGATATTTCTGCTGTGGCCTCAGAACCCAAAACCGTGAAACCCAGAAGCCTTAGCCTTAACCTCCCTAAACCCCCAGTGTAGAAGCCGGAGAAAACACAGATTTTGTGGGTCTGTGTACCCGGCCACCCTCACGTCCACTCGGGGCCCGCAGCGCGGCGAGGGCTAGCGGGGTCCACAAAGCTCAGACCATCGCCAGCCGGTGGATCCAAGGGAAGAAACCAAAGCCATGGATTTGGACCCAAACAAGCCTTCCTCAGCTGTAGTTTGGGGCCTAGAGCTTCGGGACCTAGGTATTTAGGGTTTTTCGGGTTTGGGTTTAGGATTCGCAGTGAGGGGTTTCCGGGCTTTAGGGTTGAGTGTTGAAGGTTCGGGGATTGTGATTTTCAGTTTTGAGTGGTTCCGGGGTTTAGGGTTACAAGGCTTTTTTGGGCTTCTGGGTTGTTGTTCAAGGGCTCTCAACAGCATTGTCGAATAGGTACCTGTCCGACCATTCCCCAACAAATGGACGAACAAATCTCCAACTGCCACCCCTAAGCCCTAAACCCTAAACCTTATACCATACCCTAAACTCTAAACCCTAAACCCTCAACTTGCCACCCAGCTTCAAGTTGCAGTAGGGTCCGTAGTCGTACTTTGAGAATCTGCCGCTCTGGGGGCTGGCCACAGATGTTTGCTTCTCACAGAACTCGATTGTCGTAAGACCCTTCATCATCAGCATCACCTTACTCCCCCTTTCAGCGGTTATAAGGGAATAAAGAAGGTGCAGCAACATAGGAACTCACGTGAAAGAATCCAACAAGCATAGACTTGAACTCTTCAACAGTTCAATGTTGAAAAAGTCACATGGAAGCCCGAGAAGAGCGTCAGAAGGAATCCCATGAACGCAGTGGTCACGAAGCAGAGCATCAGAAGGAATCTCTGCGAGATGGGCATGTCCTTACAGGGTTGGTTCTTATCCTAGTACTCCAAGAGTAACCCTATGATATGAAGGTACCTCATGCGATCTATCTAAGTTCTCCATGGATATCCAAATAGGACGACGTGCAAAACCGCGAGATGATCCTTGAAAACGTCGATAAATCCCCTCACGTAAGACTCCGGACCACCATGTGTCCTTTTGCACTGACTGGAAGATCGTCTCCAAAACCGTGCCGCCAATGAAGATGCAACTCAAGAGAGAGTAAAAGACGAGCTGTAAGAAGTACCTTGGCTTCAGTTGACCGGGGTTTGAGGCTGTGGGTTTATAACAACAGCCTTCGAGCAGTAAGCAGCACCTCATAGCTAGGGTTCTACCATACAGGCCGGGGTTTTGTCATGATGTATACGGGCTCTTCGATCCTGGGAGAGGGAAGACGGAGGATGACGGAGGGCCCGGGGTTTGCAACAATAAATACTAGTTCGGTATTGAAATACTAAGAACCATGACCCCCCAAACCCGTCTGGAACCCTCAAAGACCCATGCGGTAGCTCGAGGTACTTGTGGTTCCTGAAGCCGACGCAGTTCATGATCCAGGGACAGTGGTGGTCCATCTTCAAGATGCAACACCTGCAAATTCCTCGGCTGCTAGAAGCTCAGGGTGCATGGCTTGCGTCTCCGGTTCAGGGTTAGTTCGGGCTTAATTAGGGACCAGGGTCAGGGCAACGGTTAGGGTTGCGAAATGGAGGGTTTGGGATTTGTGGGTTTAGGGTTTCGAGGGTCCTGCTAAGCAGGGGGCCGCCTCATTCAACTACTGTATGTGCAGGAACTTCCTATCCCAAATCCCCCACACAGCTAAAGCCTAAAAACAGTCCTTAACCCAAAAGCCGAGGCTCGACAATGGTGACACCTGTCCGGTTTGTAGATGAGGCAGTGCTTGCAGCGACGTCTCTCTCCCGTCCCCTTGACCTCACCTGGGATTGATCGGGGAACTTCCAAATTGGAACCCCAGTGTGTAATATGAATTCGCAGAATACCCCCTAAACTTTGGAATAGATCCCAAAGGCTAAAGGTAAAGATAAGGACACCTACCGTAAGTTCGAGAAGCCCCACGCCAAAGAACCGACAACCAACGGCTAAAACTGTAAAGCAAGACACCGAAACATGATCGTGCCAGTAGCTTCTAGAAGCCATTTTCAAACTATGTAAACAAAAAAGTAAAGAGCCCGCGGTCAATGCAGCGGTCTCATAAATGCTATAGAGTCATAGACTCTAAAACATAAGCACTCCTGTGACATCACTGGTCAACCTTTCCAAGAATCGAACCTCGGCACCCTGAACCCAAAATCCTCAAGCTTCAACCCCACATCCAGATATCCAAATCCTACATCCTTTGCTCCTTGAACCCTACAAACCTACACTCTTCGACTAAACACAGTCCTAAACCCTCCGGTCAAATCACTGGTCATGTTCGGGTCTTTGAAGGCTCCAAAGCGCCACTCAACGGCCTCAAGAACAGAGCATCCAGCGTAATGTTATAAGGTTTCATTTGACAGCCCTTCATAAAGGTTCTACGAGGGCTTCGGCTGCAGCACAATTCGACCACAAGTTTGGGGGGATCTATGGCGATCTATGGTTCAATTCGAAGAAGCGAAACTCCAGGGGAACGCTGTTACTGCGTATTGGGACCTTCATATGCGGGTTCTTGGCTATGGGTAGTTCTCTACATGAACCCTGTTTATGAGGGTGCCTCCTTCTCTTCGGTTACCGAAAAGGACCTCAATTTGGAGAACTGCCCTCATAGTCGGTCCAAAAATCCTACATTGAGCTTTGACTACCAACTTCTCAATCCTAACACCTAAGTCCCCAACCCTGAAACCCATGATCTGGGGCTTGAATGCTCAGGTTTTCTTCGCTAGCGCCAGTCTCTGAGGTTTAGGGGCTAGTAGCCAGGGTTCAGGCTAAACCCTAAACCCTATAAACATCCCTAAACCGTTGAGTTAGGCTTCAGCGTTTTCGAGAGCCGAGGTCTTGGAATTCGTCTTCAGGGTCTTTCGCTCCCCACCTCGGGGACAGACCCGGGCGGCGTCAAAGATGCCTTGGCAAAGCAAACCATCATCAGTCCTGACAGTACCTGCCGCGTTTTTGGATTTGACCTTCGGGTTTCAAGTGGCGCTGCTCTTTACAAGCAATTCTGGTAATAACAGTAGTAAGAGAAATCATAGTAATAATCGTAATAATTAATAGTAGTAATAGTAGTAATGATAATGATAATCACAATAATAATAATAATAATAATAATAATACCTGTTCGGGGTTCACGGTTTCGGCATCTAGGACCCAGGGATTTTTGGGACTTGGGGGTTTGACGGGTTCAGGTTTGGGGTCCCTGCGAGTACCTGTCAGGGACTTTAAAGGTCAGCCTTCTTTCAAAGGGGCATGAAGCGGAAAAGCAGACAAAATGCTACAGACGGGGATATTCACAGGAAGTATCCTTGGTCCAAACAGTACCCGTTGGGTTGCGGGCTTCAGGGTTTCGGCGACGTGCACTTTGAAGAAAAGGCTCTTGTTAAACATGCGCACGACTCTTCACCCTAAGCACGAAGCCCTGACACGACCTTGCAAGGAATCGGGATCTCCGATTCCTCACTGAGAGACAAGCAGGGCACGAGAGGGTAGTTGGGGCTGGGGGGTCGAGGTAAAGCCGAAACTCCAAGCCCCAAAACCCCATCTCACCTGGGAGATGAGAAAGTGTATCCATCCCCGGGAAGCCACGTCGGGGTCGAAGTGTTCGATCGGAAAGCCTAACTGTAGCCTCAGCTGGTTCTGCTCCAAGGACTCCAACGTTTGTGGCCGCGTGACTTCCGGGAGTATACGGGGAAACTATGACTATAGCTATGCTAAAGCGTATATTTATCAAAAAGAAACCATTAAATACACAAAAACAACATGTACGCGCAACGTTTACCAGCTCAACAAAGAAGTAGCTGCGGAAGGAGATGCAGGAAAAGGTAGATCGACCAAACACCAGAGACCATGGTCAGCACTGTCATCGGAGGCAGCAGACTTGCCAGGGTCGTCTCAAAAACCGGCTGCATTTCGCGGAGTCTTGCCGGACCCCTTGTCCTGGGCGGTTCCTGCTGGCCTTTAAAAAAATATAGCTTTCGAGTCTTGCTTCAGAATTTAATTTACTAACCCACGCACTGAACCTAAACACAATTTTCAAGCCTGGTCTCCAGCAAGAGCTTCAGAGTAGTAGTAAGAATGAAATTGGCAAGCAACGGCCCTCGGTGCTGGTCGAGGACGCTAAGCCATCGGCGAGATCAAACGACCTACACGACCTTTTTAGTTTCATGAGACGGTAGAGCGAATAGTTGAAGCACGTTCGACTAGACCCTCATCCCCGAGCCGCCAAACCCTCATGTGTTGATTGCGCAGGGCTAACGGGCCTGAATGATCCCAGATGCCTCAGAAAGCAGCGCAGCGCCAATTCAGGCAAGCTCTGTGTTGTTCATAGGATGTTTAGGGATTCGTGTGCGGGCTTTAAATCGGTCTGATACAGCTCTTTCTTGAATACTTGCCTTTAGTGCAGGACTTGGGGTGCAGGGCTTTTCGTCAGTGTGCCACTAAGGCCTTCTGCTGCCGATAGAACTTTGTCTTGTTTGGTGCGGTTGGGACGCAAACTTTACATGCCTCTGACAGCAGTAGACAGAAGCCATAAATCTTGAATCTTACCCTACACTAGCATGGAATCCCATAAGGCCCTTCTTGTGCGGAACGGACTGATGCAACCTCTAGGTAGCTGCACTTGAGAGACTTCTACTTGGCTCTGTATAGGGGCCTTAATAATTAGAATAGGGTTTTGGGGCCCATTACTTTAGTTATATTTTCGAACCCCCGAAAAAATATTGGCACTTATTTAGGCCCCTATATTAGTTAGGCTACAACCGCCTGTAACCCTCAAGTTCAACCAGGCCAAAGCCGAAAGCCCAAGCCCGGAATCCAAAAAGAAACGCTCGGGCACTCAAAAGGGAACCTTCGCCTTGGACTGAGTACTTCAAACCCCCTTATCCATAGGCCCCATGGTAGTTCCTTCTTTGGGATTACCTTCTAGGATTCTAAATATGAACCCCAAAAAGGAACCAGTATGGGGCCTATGGGTAAAGTGGAGGAGATTTGAAGTTGACGAACTTCAGAAGTCGAAAAGGCTCGGGTTGTTGGGAAATTGCGATAATCCTACACCCGAGCTGTGCGTTTTGAAGCGTCACAAGTTGCGAGTGCTCACCTTAATCCATTGTTTAGGCACTTGGGTCGATCTCTTTGAAGAAAAAGAACCCTAACACAACTACACGCAGGCCAGCCCTAATCTGTTAAATCCGCACGCCCTTGCAAACCCCAAAGCCCCACACCACAGGTAGGCCCTGCTAAAAAGAACAAAACCCTCCCTATACAGCCCGTCAGATCCCCTAAGTAAAAAAGTCTGCGGAAAGCGGCCCTGTCCAGGTTCGCGTGGTCGTGGAGGTGGGGACGTAAGCTTGGAGCCTCCCAAGCGAATGTAGGGGCCTTCATAATGAAAATGTGGTTTTGGGGTATATACTACTAAAACTATAGTAAGGAACCCCCAAAAGAGTATTGGTAATTTTCTAAAGCCCCCTATATTTAGTCGTGAAGGCAGGGCAGATTGAGGGTCTTGCTTGCCTTTTTTAATGGGGTTGCGGGCTTTGGGTTTTTAGGATGCATTCTGCTTTCGCTTTTTTGGGTGGGAGGGAGGGAGGGAGGGAGGGAGGGAGGGGAGGCGCTCAAGATTCGACGCAAGGCACCTTTGGCTCTGAGGTCTAGGTCCCACAATTATGGGTTCAGACCTTACTACCCTGAACACCAAACCCTGAACCTAAAAGCTGATTCCTGAGTCCTAACCCCAAACCCTAAAGCCCCAAGCTTCGACTCCGACATTGTTGCTTGAGGGCTTAGGGCTTTTGTTGTTTGTCCAGGCGGGAGGGGCTGGGCTCAGGGTTTCCGTCGTTTGGGGATGCCTGCTGCGCATGCAGCAGAATTCCTGCAAGGGTTCCGCTAAGGGTTATGGAAGTTTTCGGGCTTGAAGCCTGTTTGGCTCTCGGGTTTGGGGTTAAGTATTGAAGGGCCTCGGGCTCAGCCATAGGGGTCCAAGCTGGTAAACATCTCACCACCAAACTCTCGATACATATAATATATATATATATATACATATATATATATATATATACATATATTTATTTATTTAGTTTTATATATATATATACACACACACACGCACACACACATAGTTGCTCCAATACGCAGCCACCTGAACCTTTGCGTATGATCTTATTATAACTCCAAGTCCCAAGCCAAGCCCTACCAAATAGACCGGGACACCGTCATTGTAGGGCACATCTCTCAAAAAGTGAATGCTGGGAGCTACAGCTACGAGATTCACTCGCAGGACGCCGTCTGACCACGCGTCTACGTTTACATGATCAGGCTGAAGATGACTGAGCTACGATTGAACCCGCCAACCCAAACCCTCAAACCGGAGTCGGACTCATTAATGTACCCTTTATACCCTGATGCCCACGACTCCAAACCCAAAAAATGACAAACGCCTAGAAGGCTAAACTCATGAACCAGGAACCCCTGAGATCTGAACCCCCTTGAATAACCTATGGGGCCTGACGTTAGGATTTCTAGTGTATTCCTTGGATCTAAACCCGCCACGATCCCCGGATTTCAGGAGCCAGCGAACCCGAAACCCTGATCCCCTTTAAACCCTGGACCCTAAACTTCACTACACGCCTACCCATAGGCCCCATAGTAGTTCCTTTTTGGGATTCCCTAATCGGATCCGAAACCTGAAGCCTCAACATGCTTCAACCTTGAAGCCTCGACCAATAAACGACTTCCAGCGACAACGAGCTATGATAAGGTTCGGAGTTTATAGGGTTTAGGGGTTTAGGGGTTTAGGGGTTTAGGGTTTAGGCAGTACGATAGGGATCCTTCTATGCGGGCCTGTAAACAATGGGAGTGTCCTGATCAGGGGGTCTACACTGAGTCTACACTGCACGCTAAGCCTGAACCCACCAAGCTTCGAAACACGGAGCCAGTCAAAAATGCCTCTAATGTAGGGGCCTTAATAATTAGAATAGGGTTTGGGGTATATTGTACTATAGCTATAATAAGGAACCTCTGAAATGGTATTGGTAATTCTGTAGGCCCCCTATAGTATCTTAAGCCATAGAGTGGCAGGACCGGGATATCTTTCTGCGGGCTTTGGTTTTGGATCCTGAAGCCTTATATACAAGTGTCACACCCCTCTACAACCCTGACTGTTGAAGACGTTTAATCTTAAGCCCGGATCGTTCAACCCTACGTGCTGTAGGCACGAAACTGCCCTCAAAAGGCTTCTGGAGCTCATAGGGACGGCTTGGTTGCTCTAGGTCTGCGCTTCCGGTTTGTGGGGTCTTATATCGGGTGTTACAAGGGTTTCGCAGGGTTGTAAAAGGGGCTCAGACGGGTTGCATACGATGGGGTACTTGACTACGCAGCCTGGAATTTAGGTTTATAGTGGCACAGTCTGAGGTTCGGGTCTGAGCTTCTGGCATGGTCGTGGTCGTTGTCATGTAGCACCTGGGAGGCAGCAACGCGCAGGGCTTTGCGTGGTTTGGGGCTTTCGGGCTTATGGGTTAGGATAGTTCGGGATCTTCGGGCCTGCGATTGCGGTTTCGGTGTGTTAGCTTAGGAACGGGGCGCAGGATTAAGTCTATGTTTTGGGGGGCTTAAAGTTCAGAGCTTAGGATTAATTAGGGTTCAGCCCGAGACACGAAAGCTAGCAAAGCGCAATCAGGGTCCCGTTCACATTCCGGGTTTCCAGTGGGACTGTTATATAAGATTAGGATTCCCAAACCGCATGTATGCATGCTTCGAGGCGGTTTTCCAAAGCTGAACCCCTGAACTCAAGACCCGAAAACCCCAAACCCCCAGACCCTCCATCCCTTAAGCTTTTGAACCCTCAGGCCGCAACCCCATAAACCAAGGAGCTTCAACCCGAAAGCTTCACCTTCAAACCTGTATCCCTAAACCCTTCCTTTTGGTGACCGAGGGTCTCGGATCCAGAGCTTAGGATTCTAACCCTAAATCCTAAACCCCCAAACCCCCAAACCCCCAAACCCCCAACCCCTCAAGCCCCAAGCGCGATGAGGCTGGAGAACCACAGGTCAGCCCAACGCGCAAACCAGCCAGCTTGCACCAATCCCAAAGCCGTAGAATCCAACCAAACTAGGAGCCCAAACCCCTAAACCTAAACCCTAAAACCCCAAACCAAGCCTCAGCTCCCCACCCTTGCTTGACCTATGGGTTCCACCTAGCAATCGTGGACGCCCCCAAATACTACCCTACATTTCTGTTGTCTTGGAGTTGTCCCAAACCCAAATGCCTGATTCTTGGGCCCCTTGCACCCCTAAAGCCTTTACAGAGCATGAGCATCTAGCGGCTAGCCATAGAAGATGGAGGCTGCAAACCAATTTTGTGACTCCTTGCCTCGTGGTGCGCACATGGCCCGCAAGACAGTGCGCAACTGACTTGCAAGATTCATCTGCACTTCTAAAATACAGCGACTCGTGCGCGTGGCCCTGTGCTTCAGCGAAACGAAGGCTGCGCAAAACTATTCAACCCTTTCAAACATCATGGAGGCTGATGGGCTGTGTTCCGGAACAAATCAGTGGAACAAATCAACTATTCGGTTTGCGCAGAAGCTGGGCGATCCTCGTCAAGGTACGTTTCCAAACATTTTCTGAGCATGTCAACTCTGTGAGGACTGCCTTCTGCAAGTGCGAATGTGTCGTGTGCAGCTTCGTGAGAAAGGCCTCGATGCTGAGAAGCGGCATGTCTGTCTTAGACTCGCATTGCTCACGAATGAGCTGATCAACCATCCCAAAGTTTGCAACACCGTCCTTGCCGAGGAAGGCATAGCAGGTGCACAAGACCTCTTCCTGGAGGAGGGAATCGAGCTTGCGAAACTTCCGAGTCCCGTCATCACACGAAAGTACCCCACTTCCCTCGACGTCGTTGCGCAGACGGGCCCAGGCTGCAACTGAGTGCTGG